TTCAAGCAACATCTTTAGGATGGGTCAGTCCGGCATCCTATTATCTCTAGATAATATCTGCCCATGTGCGGATGCGAACACACCGTCATTGACTATGAGACTAAGTCAAACATCCAACACACACTAGTCTCACATGCATTAACGATATCCCACTCTCGTTAATACTCGACTATGGACATTTAGATAAATATTTATTTCAAGATGTTAGTCTCATCAGCAGAATAACACTATCTGATAAACATCTTTAATTATAAATCTTGGAATATAATATTTGTTTACATTAGCATGAGATGTGTAAACATATTATATCTGCCTATACATGATAGAATAATGATAAACAGTTGGCCATCAGGGCACAACTCCAACAATCTCCCATTTGCACTATGGCCATTCTGGCATCGGTCGAATGCCCATGGACCTAGTGTGACCCTCATGCTTTAGCTTTCCTAAAGGCTTGGTCAAGAGATCGGCTATGTTGTCGTCAGTATCTACTTTGCAAATCATCATATCTCCTCTATCTATGATTTCTCGTATGATGTGATAGCGTCGTACAATGTGTTGTGTTTTCTGGTGAGATCACGGTTCATTTGCCTGTGTAATGGCCCCAGTGTTGTCGCAAAACAACGAGATAGGGTCATTAATACTAGGAATCACTCCAAGTTCAGTAATGAACTTCTTGATCCAAACAGCTTCTTTAGCTGCCTCGGCGGCAGCTATGTACTCAGCCTCTATAGTCGAATCGGCGGTTGTATCCTCCTTAAAGCTCTTCCAACTAAAAGCTCCGCCATTCAGACAAAACAAATATCCTGCTTGTGATTTTGAATCGTCTCTGTCGGTTTGGAAGCTAGCATCAGTGTAACCGACCACCTTTAGCTCTTCCTCACCACCGTATACCAGGAATGCATCCTTAGTATTGCGAAGATACTTGAGGATGTTCTTGACCGCTGTCCAGTGCGCTTCTCCTGGACTTCCCTGGTATCTGCTAGTCACGCTTAAAGCGAATGAGACATCAGGTCTAGTACATATCATGGCATACATGATGGATCCAATCGCAGAGGCGTATGGAACCTTCATCATGAGTTCCTTCTGCTCAGGAGTAGAAGGACTCTGGTTCTTGGAAAGAACCGTGCCAGGTGTCATAGGTAAAGATCCTTTCTTTGAGTTAGACATGCTAAATCGATCAAGGATTTTATCTATATATGTACTTTGATTCAGACCTATTAACTTTCTTGATCTATCTCGGTAGATTCTTATGCCAAGGACATAACTAGTATCCCCTAAGTCTTTCATGGAGAAGTTCTCGCTCAACCACGTCTTTACAGAAGTGAGAGCGGGAATATCGTTACCCATTAACAATATGTCGTCGACATATAATATTAGGAATACTATTACACTCCCACTGACCTTCTTGTATACACAAGATTCATCAGAGTTCTTCTCGAAACCAAAATTGGAAATGGTTTCATCGAAACGTATGTACCAACTCCGAGATATTGTTTTAATCCGTAGATTGAACGTTGCAGTTTACAAACTTTGGCAGACTGACCAGCAATTTGAAAACCGTCAGGCTGTGTCATGAAGACATCCTCTTTGAGGTTCCCATTAAGGAAAGCCGTTTTGACGTCCATCTGCCAAATTTCATAATCGTAATAGGATGCAATCCCAAGCATTATCCGAATGGATTTCAGCATAACAACTGGAGAAAAGGTTTCATCATAGTCAATTCTGTGGATTTGTCTATAACCTTTTGCTACCAATCTAGCTTTGAAGGTATGAACCTTCCCATCTACGTCTGTCTTCTTTTTGAAGACCCACTTGCATCCAATGGGTTTTACCCCTTCAGGCGCATCAACCAAGGTCCAGACTTGGTTTGTGTACATAGACTCCATTTCAGATTTCATGGCTTCGAGCCATAGATCGGATTCGGGGCATGTAATTGCCTCGAGGTAGGTCTCTGGTTCGCCTTGATCTACCAACAAGACATCACCTTCATCAGACATGAGAAATCCATATCTGACCGGAGGATTACGTATCCGGTCTGACCTACGTGGTATATCTTGAGCAATTTGAGGTTCAATTGCTTGATCTCTTTGCTCAGGTTCCAACACTATCGGGACTTCTTCTTGTGGTTCTCGAATTTCTTCGAGGTCTACCTTTCTCCCATTAGTGATGGCAGAAAGAAACTCCTTCTCAAGGAAGGTTCCATTCCGAGCAACGAAAATTTTGTTATCGGATGGATGATAGAACTCATACCCTCTAGTTTCCTTGGGGTATCCCACAAAAATTACTTTATCAGATTTAGGCTCCAACTTACTAGAGGTCATGAGACGTTTTACATAAGCTTCACAGCCCCAAATCTTAAAGTACGAGAAACTCGGTTTTCTCCCACGCCATAGTTCGTATGGTGTGCTCTCGACCGCTTTAGATGGAACTCTGTTGAGTGTGTGCGCTGCTGTTTTCAATGCATATCCCCAAAATGATTCTGGCAATGTTGTCAGACTAATCATGCTCCGGACCATGTCTAGCAAAGTCCGATTTCTCCTCTCAGACACTCCATTTAACTGAGGTGTCCCAGGAGGAGTGAGTTGGGATAAGATCCCATGCTCTTTCAGATAGAACTACTACAAAAGGGATATTTAATAGCGCTGAATAAACGGCGGATAAATGAGAACCGCTCTCTATTCTTTATTGAGAAAAACCGGCGGTCTAACTACTTGAAGTATGGTCGTATGGATTACAGATTATACATTACCCAGCAGATGAAAAAGAGGCCGCTGCCTTTTCCACTCAGTAATTGATTCCTTCTCAAATTAAAATGACTCAGATCCAACGCCATTGAGTATAGGGCTGGGTTGGGAAAACCGAAAACCGCAAACTGAACCGAAATCGATCGAAACGAGCTAGAAAAAAAACCGAACCGAAAAAACCGAAACCGAATGTAAAAAAACCGAACCGTTAGTGTTTGGTTCCGTTTTGGTTTTTACTTTTAAAAACCGAACCGAACCGAATAAACCGAACTTTCTTAGATAATTCGCTTTATTTATATGAATATATGTGATATGTAAAAAAATTATAGAAATATAAACGCAAATAAATTACTAGTCGATTAAAATTATTTTCTTAACTATTAATTAAACATTCAAGCCATATTATTATAAACTTTGAAAAAACCTAAGAATATAAACACCAATAGCTTATCCTAAAATAGA